TGACAGCCAGGACACATGCAGCAGCTGAATTGCCTTGGATACACTCGGTGTTCAAGTCTCTCCCATGACTGAGCCATGAACTGGGGCGTTATCAGGCGCTTTCAAAGTCAGCATTGGGTTGTAATTTCTCTGCAGACTTCTCACCCCTTCAATTTCCCCCACCCATTATTAACCACTTTGGAGTTTCTCTTCCTAAATCTTGGCCGAGGAAGCTAAGGGAAAGGAAATTCTGCTCATCGCCGCTTAAGAAAACGTGTACTTTTGCTTGGCTATTGGCCTAACACAGTTATTTATGAATATCAAAGGCATATAGTGAAGTTGTAAACGCCATATGTCAACTAGCTATTTCCAGTTGTATTTGATAAGGTTGATTTCAACACCATACGGATTAACACACTCGATATCCTAGTATCACTCAAGAAAATAACAGTACAGGTAGTTTTTAACTTAAAAACTTGAATATTTTTGGTTTGCTGTGGGCTCTTGGCTTGCTGCAGCCTTGTCCTTAAGACTTCACCTGGTCACTGCGTTAGTTCTGGCAGTCGCCTCACTTTCTTCCTCCTGTTCTCTAAGACTATGGGATTTCTTAACCAAAAGCAGACAAAGAATGTAGATTTGTTGCTGTCCATATTTCAAGGGTACAGGCAAAGGATAGCACTGGTAACAAGATTGTGGTTGGTGACAACTGATTCTCCCTACGTTGCACCAAGGGGTGGGGATCAGGGCATATGCCCAGGCTGAAATATCACTTAAGCACCATCTATAGGAAAACTCCGTCCTTAATAGCCACCCTTTGAAAGCAATGGAAACTCCATTTGAGGGCTGTAAATACCAAGTGTGGACAGCGGAGCCGTGGGTCTCTGTTCTACAAATGTTTGCCTTCTTCAGCGTTGATCAAAGGCCAATGTGTTTGCCTTATGAAGCTGCATTGGATAGTGTTTTTAGAGCAATTACAGAATGACAATAATCGATTCAACTTTCTTTTACCTTACAGAATCTTCTCCCCCTTCAAAAAAGCGGGGGAGGGGCTGTGAAAAGAATGATTCATTTTAATAAGGACAAAGGAGACAGAAGGAGGAATGACATTGGCTGTGGCCGGTTAAGTGCAGGCGTTGCTTGAAGAAAAGTTAGATCCTGCCTCCTTCTGCACTTCTGGGCCTTATTTTGAATGAAAATAGGGCAGACTCCTTTGGTGGCCGGCGGGGGTTTTTGCTTGAGACCGAGAAGCTTCTTGGCTAATGTTGATGAAGTAGGTGATTTGAAGTGTTTGGGAGAAACAAAGCTTCCAAATGTAATTCAAATTCGAATGATAGGTTGGAGCTGTCATAAGGTTCCCAACATTCAATACTTCTCTAGTTGATAAGCAAGAATGAAGATTGCATTTCCTCTTAAAATGTAACCACTGCTGAATACAGGCAGGATTCTTGTCAAGACCTACAGAAATTAAAACAAAACAAAAACAAAAACAAAATAAGGAAGAAAGAAAGGAAGGAAGGGACTCCTGTTCTCTCTAGATGAGAGGTTTTCTTCTGGGATTGGAAGAGGGAACTTGACCCTGATGGTTGTGGAGTCCAGTGCCCTTGAACCCTGATTTGTGTGGATTAAATAAATAAATAAAACAAACAAACAAAAAACCCCAGGATCTTTTAAAGTAGAGGAGGTTGCTACAAAATGGGTCTCTGTGTAGGTATATACCCTGCTGCCTGGCCCTCAGCCCACGAATTCTAAATTCAGGTAGGAAAGAGCCTAAGTTGCCTAATGCCTCTCTGAAGAGGTGACCACATAGACATCAAACAAAAGTAGCCCTTTCTGCAGGCAGGACAGAACTGATGGGAATAATCGCTTGGATTCCTGCAGTTTCCACCTAGATCTCATTCATAAGCAAAACTGTTGTTTACTTAGGAGGAGGAAAATATGGTGAGTGTGTGGCTCTTTGGGCCAATAACATTTCTAAGTGCTGCAGAACTCACTGACCAAAGACTTAAAAGATCCTTAGAGAATGACTTGTGCCAACACTTCCATAGAGAAGAGATGAGCTGGAGATGGGGGAAAGAGAGTGCCCAGCCTAGTCTTGGGGGCAGGACACAAGGCACCCAGCAAAACTGCTGCAGTTTCAGGCGCTTAGGACCAACCAGCGCAGACACCCAGTTCTCCTAGGGGATCCAATTTAACTCATAGTTGAGAACCACCTGGCTAACCAGGGAAAGGGTGGGCTCTTGAGTCCCTTCCCTTGAAGGCACCTGAAAGCCATTCAGTTGAAAGCAACTCCCTGTAGCAGAGAGACTAGCACAACACTCTTCCTGAATAGCTTCTGAAGCTGTGGTCTCATTTGTCGTTTACAGACCTGGTACATTTCGAAGAGCTTGATGGTGTTTTCAGACTCCTTCACTGCACTGTCAGCCTTCCTCCAAAATCGGGTTTTCCGTTTTCCTCTTGGCTTATTTTACTGAGAAACCTGTGAACTCACACATCTGGACCCTCTACGTGCATAGGAGCCACTGAGAGAAACAAGCTAGATTTGAGATCTAATGAGGGTAGATTTTAGTAAGAAGTCCAGGAGAAGGCCACAAGCAAACATATCAATATCCTTCATACACAAGCAAGCCAAACACTAGCACCTCCTCACAAGAACCCTTGGCTCTTATGTCCTTTAGAGTGGCTTCTGATATCCCCACTTGAGAAAATAAAAGTCAATACAAGCCTGTGCCCAAGTTTTGGTTGGGATTCAATATTCTAAGCAAAATATGCTCAACAGATGATAGTGGAGATGAAGCCAGAAAACAACTCCAGCTATTTAAACTGCCAAATGAGACATAAAGCTGCATTGTAAAAATCATCTGGAAAACAGGTTTTCCCATTGAAGTCGCTATGTGTTAATTACTGTGAGCTGGAAGGCTGGAGATCGAACGCCTGGAAGCCGACTTTCACCCCGCATACGTAAACGGAAAAAGTGCTGAACCGCAGCCAGAGGGCTCCTGCCTGGACTCATTGCCATGCATGCCTAGACATTAATATGTGTTCATGGAGGGCTCGTACAGTACGAGGTGTTATTTCCTTATAAAGAAACACCAGGTCTCGCTTTCCATTCTTCTTACAAAATTATTCGCATTATTTATGCTACATTGAGCGATCTAATTTCTTCGTGATAGTCAGCTAATTGCTCTGGCAGGTAATTAGAAGCGGTTTACAACGCAAAGGGCTTTTGCATTGCCCTTCGGATTATTAAGTTGCGCTGTAAATTATACTATATTTGCTGGGGAAAAATTCTTTTGAGCAAGTTCTCTTCCTGCGATCCGAGATGAAATCACCCCCACCCCTCCGTAGCCACCCCCACTGCCACCACACCCCCTGCTTTTCCTGGACTCAGAGTCGAATGATTCTAAAGCACGCGATTTTGTTCGTGTTCACTGGGCCGAAATAACGTGGCCATTATGGCCTGAAATGGGCCAGGTTTGAAGCGAGCTTCCTGCGCGCCGGCAATATCCAGCAGGCATGTGGGAAAAGAACGGTTTAAATGGGGACATCTGCTCAGTGCTGCTCATCTTACTCTTACAGCCAGGTCAGGTTAAGAGAATAACCTGTTCACCACCTTTTTTCTTGTTAATAAGACTATTAGAAAAAAGCAAGAACACACACACACACACACACACAACAGCACTAATTGACTGCCATATAAGCAAAAGATCACATATGCACACACACACACACACACACACACACACACACACAGCAACAGCTACAGGAGGAACTGTAAAATATAACCATTGAATGATTTCATCGGAAAGGCACAGAATTTCCTGCAGAAAAATAACCCGTGAAGAACATCTACATATGCGAGTGCAAAAAAAAAATGCTCCCTATAGAAATGGATTTGTGCAAAGGATCTTAAGAACTCAAATTAAGAAAATTAAACCAAAAGTAAACTCTAGTGAACATTTTCTTCCTCGGGCTTTTAAGTATTTTGGGACCCCCACACTTTTTTTTGATGGTGTTGTTTTGATCTGTGCCATCTCTTGGGTCCTGATGATGAAGCCCAAGGAAAAGCATTCTAGGTTGCTCCATGGTTTTAGAAAGGGAACTGTAACCCCTGTCGCAAACATCCCCATTTTCGAACCGTGTGCTCTGATCTGAGCACATGTGTGGTAAAGCCCAGAGACCCAGAGCGGCTCCTAGATTATTTGTAATTAGACACAATTCCCAAAGTAACATTTATCTTCCCGAAACTGCGATTGCAATTGTCAACCGTCTGGAGGAGAAGGCAGCAGGGTGAGCTGGGAGCATTGCTTCTCCCAGGAACAGAACAGAATGAAAAGAAATCAATAGTGTTCAGGATAAGGATTTAGTAGTTTTTAACTCTGCATGTTAGCTGTGAGAAAGTAATATATAATATCAAAAGAGAAAACAGCCCAAACAAATCTATTTCAGAAAAAAAAATCAGACACACTCATCTGAATGTTTAAGCTGCTGTTTGTTTGGTTGTTTTTTTTTTTAATACACCAAGTCTGCACAAGAACAGCAACACCATGCCATGCAAGCAAGCAAGCCCTTTTCCTTACAAGTGTTTCCTTCATTTACATGATGAAGAAGTATGGAATGCTGTGAAACTGATTATCAGTTTCACCTATGGGCTGGGAAAGATGAATCAGAAATAAACCATAGAATATATGTCTGCCTGCAGAGCTAGAGCAAGGCCACATCAACCTGCTGTGAAGACATGAGTATTGCATGGGGATAGTAAATGGGAAATGTGCTTTTTCTTTATTTAAATACGCTATACACATATAGTGGAAATTTGGGGGTATGATTCTTTGTAAACCAATCTCTCTCTCTCTTCTCTCTCTCTCTCTCTCTCTCTCTCTCTCTCTCTCTCTCTCTCTCTCTCTCTACCTAACTATCTTGTTAAGACGACTGTTTGATGCATGGGGGCAAGTCCCTCTCTGCAGACTGTATGCAATTTGAATTACCCAGTTAAAGGAAATCAAAGCTCATAATACCCTAGGTTAAACCGGTAAACATCTTTTAATTATGAAGTGATCCTAACTTTGAATGCTTTAAAAATGACAGAGAAGAAAACCAATAAATATTAAGGAGAAATGGAAGAATATATCGAATCGATTCAGACAGAGGCAAAGAGAAAAAGAAAATACTCTCATTTATTCAAGAAATAATGCTTTGCGAGAGTCCCCGGGGACAGTAGCTCAAGAGTCATGGCGGCTTCGCTGTGGCCAACAAATGCATCCAATTAAGCGATGCCAGGAAAGTAGGGACCCGGCTGTAAATGTGGCCGGACAGTTGAAACCGAATAACCTCGCTAATAGGGGCTATTGTTCAGCGTGGAAGTTCCCATTTTCCAATCAGGAAAATACAGCCCTCTCTCAGCTCCAGCCGACTGATCCCTTCCCACCCACGGCTCAACAATCTGCCACCAGCGAGGGGCTTTTATTACGTCCCTTCCCAGGAAATGTCAGGCAAGTTCTTAAGTAGAACCACCCGAAAGCAGGGATGGGCCGTGGAGGGGGCACTCGGGAATCCACAGGTCCAATCCTGGCCGGGCTTTTCTTTTCAACAGGAAAGAAACTTTGACCACAGAATTCCCAGCAGCCCCCACCTACTCCCACCTGGTTCAACCCTCTCATCCCGTGGCCGCCAGCGGCGCTCGCCCGGCTTCACGCTTTATCTACGCGTTCCTGCCCTGGGTGCCCACAGTGGGGAAAGGGCGAGGCTGTCCCTTCTTATCTTGCCTGCCAGGGTCGCGCCGCTGGCACCGCGCTCCCTGGCTCGCTCGCGGAGGACACCCGCGGGTCAGCTAGCAGAGCTGGGCACTCGCCGCCGCCAAGTCTCTGGCTATCCAGACGCCTGCAGCTGTTTTATCCGTACCCTGCAGAGGTACGCGCGCAGTTACCGTGCCTTCATCCACCAGGCTTTCCCTATTCTTGCCCCCTCTCTTCCCCCACTTTATCCTTGTATAGGTAGACCATACTTGTATTCAAAACTATATTTGTTGTAAATGTGCTGCCGTACAGTTGAAAGCATGGATAACTTTGATATTTTTTTAAACTATAAATCTCCATTTGTATTCAGTGGTTTCAAATGCCTTTATTAACTTGTCTCGGAATCTACGCATTTTAATTTATTAACTAAGAAGCAGAGGCATATCTCACTCCCTGCTCTCCGGAAAGAGAATGTAGGGATCAAATCACCCTGATTTGCTTTTAGGACCTGGTTTCTTTGGTCGCTAGAGATTCTTCAACCCCGCCTGCAAAGAGAAACACACACACACACACACACACACACACACACACACACACACTCACCCCAAACCTTCATCACCACCAACCAAAAAAAAAAGTCTACATTTCTCCTTTCTCTGCTCCATCTAAAGAGATGATGATATATACTGTAGCTGCAAGGTGTTAGATATACTTGAGTAAGTAGTTCCCAGGATGTAAATTAGGTCCCAAAAGCTGTTGTCCAAATCGAAGAAACAGAGAAATTAATCTGGGAGACTATCCATCATCACCTGTAATAAAGAGAGCGACATGGATGAGACAGATGATATGATTAAGGGGCTGTGGTCGTTTTAATTAACTTTTTGCTGTCCTGTAATGATCAAACTGGTCACCAGACCCGGTCAATAAGCATGTTAATATCAAACAAATAAAACCAGGGATGATTAAAAACCTCCTGGTTTATTAAATTTGAAATTCAAATGAAATTTATGCTGCAGATGCATACAGAATGCTAATAGATTTAGCTTTATTGATGGTGGATCCCACAGGTTTGCAAGAAAACAGCACACTGTCTACCCCTGTTCCTTTCCAGCATGTTAAACTTCTTATTGGGTGGGGAAACTTTTAATTGGTGCCTGGAAACCTGAACTTCCTGTATTTCTACCTCCTTTTCTTTAAACATCTCAATTATTACGGAACAATACTGCAAAGCAATGATCAATATCAAAACAGGTGAACTGAACTCTGCCCTCAATGGCTCAAACAGGCTGTCTGTATCTGTCATGGACTACATACAGTTCTCTTCCATGGTACAGGATTCAAGTGTGCTGGGTTACTTCTCCAAAGTGTGGTGGTGGTGGGTGCCATAAAGACTAGTTTCATTTAAAGTAGAAGCAAGGCTGTGAGTGTTTTAACTTTGCTGTTCCATAGCCTCATGGTACAAACACTAACCACTTCATGAGGGAGGGGGAGAAAGGAAGTCAAAGGAGAAAGAAGCCCTTGACAAACCCCTCACTTCGATAAATGTAAGCAAAATGTGTAAATTTTGATGTATATAAATGTATGCATGTATATGACACATTAGTGACAAACTGATATATATTTCTAATGAAAACTGCACATAGAAACCTTTACAAGCCTCCAAAGCTGAAAGCAAGCATCATGCAAATTGAAGAATCTAGTATTTTCACTAAATTCACACCAACATTGTGACTCATTGTCATAGGAAGAATGACATGTGATTCTAAAATGCATTTATACAAATGAAGTTTATCTTAGAGTTACTTAAAATTGAGTAGCTCAAAATTGCAGTCACGTGATGCTGAGTTTTTCTATTTCCAGGCAGTTTTGAGGAAACAGTAGTTAACACCTCTGTTTACTCTCATGCTTTAGCATTTAACTTTTTAATAGTCTTGCCTCTTTCCCTTCCAGAAGATAGGAGCATAAAAAGATAAAATAACTATTCATAGGAAGGAGTCTCATTTCAAGGCACTTCCTGCCACCTTTGAGAATGACGGTATTGATTAAAGTTAAACCCCAAATTTGAACAACTGTATATTAGGTTCTTAAAATGAATATCATTACAGAAGGAGACCAAAGCAATGAAGTTAATTCTCTTTTATTTGTTAAACGGAGTTCCCTCCTTCCCCCACCCCTTCCTCCTTCTGGGCTGGCCTGTCACGCCTTCTCAACACGCTAAAATCATTCAGAGGGGCTTGCAGGGAGAAACACGACATTTATGGTAAGCATCAGCCTTCAGAGAAAGAAAGCAGTTCATTAATTTGCTTCACACTTACTTCAAAGTATGTGGATGTCCCTAACTCCCTTAATCAATAGATATGATGTCCAGTCAATACTGGCACAAGTGAGAGAGAAAAAAAAAAGACTCAGAAATGCAAACTCCTGCATCACAAACAACACCCTCAAGAGTGCAGGTGAAACTTACAGAAATGACGAAGCCTGATTTGGACATCAGCAAAACCCAGGAGGAATTTTTTTTTTACAGTTTCAGATGCTGCAATGAGAGAGGAGAGAGAGAGATCTGAAGTCAAAACAGAGAAGTTCTGTCATGTACTCACATTTTAATCAATTCCCCCTTAAAATTAGACTGATGAGAGTTTTCCTAACAGGGCAAAATAGGAATGACTTTGGTTTTAAAAAGCATGAATATTCAATAGGACTCCAAGGACTGGATTTGTTCCCTTATTCTGATGTTGGCTTTTTTTTTTTTTTGTGGTTCAAGAAGTTCAGTTGTGGTGACCAGAGAATTGTAATGGTATTTCTGAAGGCAATTAATAATAAAAACAAGAAACAAGAGACTACAAAACGCAGCGAGTTTGAAATGCACATGATGACTCGATCACACTCATAGATGGTCTGCTCGTCTCACAGACGCCTCTATAATGTAGCCCAAGCTTTGTCAAAAGCTCATTTCCATTGCCACATAAATGAGACCAACAGATTTCGGTCACTCTGATTTTTCTGTCAGAAAGGCACAGTGGGGTTTCCTGTGAAAACTTCTAAATTGGGTAAAATGCTCCTCAATTTCTCATCCAATGGGGGAAAAACCACACCCCCTTTTGCTCCCCTCACCATCTAATCCTTTTGTAATTTTACTGCACGCCGAGGGACAAACACACCTCCTCCAGGACGTGCACCTCCCGAGTCCCACCTCGGGAAAGGGACGAGGGGGTGACCAGATCAAAGTACTGACTGGAAGACGCAGGCACACACATGCTCCACATACATCATCACCTCCCTCCCGAGCCTTTCCATCCTTCTGTTTGCCCGAAACACCCGAAAACGGAAGGTATCAAGATTTTCTTCAAAGCTATACTGACAGAGTCCAGGAAGCTGAGAAACAGAGAAAAAAAAATCACTCCATATTTTATGTTCAAGGAGGCAGAGGAAGTGGATAACTTTAGTAGGGCTTGGGAATATTTATTTTTACCCGGCCTCACTCAACTTCGCAGTCAGTTTCTTCGGGCCGTCCATCTCCTGTGCACGCACACTTTATTGTATTGTCCCTGCTCCCCTACCCACCCCCCAGCTTTGGCGCGCGCGTGCACACGCGCGCACACACACCCTTCTTCCCTTCTCGGTCGCGCGCGCACGGGCGCGCACCCCTCACTCCACCTACATTTAACACTCGCGCGTGCCCCTCTCCGCCCGGGACTGAGCTCCTGGCTCCCTAGGCAAGAGGGTCTCAGTTACCTTACACACTCCCCAGCTCTGTCCCCTGAACTCCTTTGTCACACGCACACACACACACACACAATCTCCCGGTGGTTTGCACGACCTGTGTGTGTGTGTGTGTGCACGACCCTACTGGGCCAGGACCTTGCGACCCTGCCCCAGCTCCCCCTCCAGCTCTCCGCATTTCTCTCCCCCCCGAGGGGTGGGGGTGGGCCACACTCGCGACCTTTTTACACGCGCGCGCGCGCACACGCACACTTTGCGACACTCTCCACCGCCGCCACCACCACTAACCCCCTCTTCCTCCACCCCCCACCCACCCCCGCCGGCGCCGATGACCTCACGGCGCGCGCGCCGCGCGGCCCAGCGAGGCCGCAGATTGGTTGGCCGCGCCTCCGCGGCACTTCAAAGCCGGAGAGGGAGCTACAATTGTGGCGGAATGGGCGGAACTGATCATTGTATTGCACACCTCTTAAAAAAAAACACTGCCTCTGATTTATCAATATAAAAAAGATCCTCTGAGAGGAGGAGGAGGGCGCTTCTGTGTGATGGCAACTTCACTTCTAGGGGTGAGTCTCAGGATCTTCTCTCGCTGGTTTAATTAGTTTCCTTTTATTGCTGATCGGAGGGGGTTAAAGTCGCCTCGGCCAGGCCACGGGCTATCAGTCTCTCTATTGAGAGCCCCCCCCCCGCCGCCCTTAAATACAAGTGAGTTTAGAGAAAAAGAAAGGGGGGGGAGAGGAGGCAGAGCCACTTTTTTTTTCAGCACAGGAAAGGTTCTTAGGGCATTGAGACCCGCCACCTCGCAGCGCCCGGCTGCTCCCTGCCCGGGAGACCAGCGCGTAGCCCCTACTACACTCGACGGTTTCGAGGGGGAACGCGAATAAGTTTTTCCCCCTCCTGGGCATACTGCGGATTCTTCCCCTTCCCCTTAATTTTTTTTTCCTCCTCAGCCCGCCTTGTATTGCAGGTACGTTGAACTCGTCTTATTTCTACCATTATAGATATACTTAAGAAAGAAAGAAAGAAAGAAAGAAAGAAAGAAAGAAAGAAAGAAAGAAAGAAAGAAAACTAAAAGAAAGGCTGGAAAAGCGAGTAAGCCTTACAGTTCGGCCTCTTTGGGGCCCGGGAGAAGCAACCAAGGATGGGTTGAGGGGGACCGGAACAGGATTTTCAAAGCTCTCTCCGGATTGCAGAGTAGCGATCTTAAACGCAGTCCAGCGATTTCCCCAGGTGGCACGGCAAAGGAAACTTCTCCCGCCCCAGTCTGGACTTTCTGTTCGCTTGAGAAAAAAAAAAAAAAAAGGCGTCTAGGGCTTTGTGCACACAAGAGTGTTGTCTTAGGTGAGAATTCTTGCTAAACTCCTTCTTTAGCGTGGAATCAGACGCCCGCAGCCAAACTTGTCCCCTCCTGTAGAGTATAGGAGGCAGCCGGGCGCCGGGGCAGCTGGGGGTGTCAGGTGAGTTGGTGGCAGCGTGCCGCAGCGAGAGATGGGGGAGCAGTGGGGCGTCTAGAGGCTACCGGGGGACTAATGCACGGTTCTTTCCTCCCTCCCCCACCGGCCCCTTTGCCCGCCACCCCTCCCCCACCCCTCTCCTCCGCTCGGGGTCTCAGGAAGAACCGAGGTTGGGATCCACTCCTCTGGCCATGCTCGCTGCTACCTGTAATAAGATCGGCAGCCCCAGCCCGTCTCCCTCCTCCCTGTCGGACAGCTCTTCTTCCTTCGGCAAAGGCTTCCACCCCTGGAAACGCTCTTCATCCTCCTCCTCCAGCAGCTGCAACGTAGTGGGTTCCAGTCTCTCCAGCTTCGGTGTGTCCGGGGCTTCCCGGAACGGCGGCTCGTCCTCGGCCGCAGCGGCGGCGGCGGCGGCAGCAGCGGCGGCCGCGGCCCTGGTGTCCGACTCGTTCAGCTGCGGCGGCTCGCCGGGCTCCAGCGCCTTCTCCCTCACCTCCAGCAGCGCCGCCGCCGCGGCCGCAGCAGCGGCAGCCGCCGCCTCCAGCTCGCCCTTCGCCAACGATTACTCTGTGTTCCAGGCCCCGGGCGTCTCCGGGGGCAGCGGCGGCGGCGGCGGGGGAGGCGGCGGCGGCTCCGGGGCGCACTCGCAGGACGGTTCCCACCAGCCGGTGTTCATCTCCAAGGTGCACACGTCGGTGGACGGGCTGCAGGGCATCTACCCGCGCGTGGGCATGGCGCACCCGTACGAATCGTGGTTCAAGCCCTCGCACCCGGGCCTGGGGGCCGCGGGCGACGTGGGCTCCGCGGGCGCCTCCAGCTGGTGGGACGTGGGCGCTGGCTGGATCGACGTGCAGAACCCCAACGGGGCGGCCGCGCTGCCTGGCTCGCTGCACCCAGCCGCCGGGGGTCTTCAGACGTCGCTGCACTCGCCACTCGGAGGCTACAACTCGGATTATTCGGGCCTGAGCCACTCGGCTTTCAGCAGTGGCGCCTCATCTCACCTGCTCAGCCCGGCGGGCCAGCACCTCATGGACGGCTTCAAGCCGGTACTGCCCGGCTCCTACCCGGATTCGGCCCCGTCGCCGCTGGCCGGCGCGGGCAGCTCCATGCTGAGCGCTGGGCCCGCGGCGCCCCTGGGGGGGTCCCCACGCTCGTCCGCCCGACGCTACTCGGGCCGAGCCACCTGCGACTGCCCCAACTGCCAGGAGGCTGAGCGGCTGGGTCCGGCGGGGGCGAGCCTGCGGCGCAAGGGGCTGCACAGCTGCCACATCCCCGGCTGCGGCAAGGTGTACGGCAAGACGTCGCACCTGAAGGCGCACCTGCGCTGGCACACGGGCGAGCGGCCGTTCGTGTGCAACTGGCTGTTCTGCGGCAAGCGCTTCACGCGCTCCGACGAGCTGCAGCGGCACCTGCGGACCCACACGGGCGAGAAGCGCTTCGCCTGCCCGGTGTGCAACAAACGCTTCATGCGCAGTGACCACCTGAGCAAGCACGTGAAGACGCACAGCGGCGGCGGCGGCTCGGCGGGCTCCAGCGGCGGCAAGAAGGGCAGCGACACCGACAGCGAGCACAGCGCGGCGGGCAGCCCGCCTTGCCACTCCCCCGAGCTGCTGCAGACCCCGGAACCGGGCCACCGCAACGGCCTGGAGTGACTGTGGCGCAGCCTCCCACCTGGGTCCCGTCGGGCTTGTGTGCCTGGCCCAGGGTCGGCTCGCCCGCTGTCTCGCGCTCTCTTCCCCACTCCCCTGTTTCCCCTCTCTCCGGCTCCCCTCTCCTAACTTTATGAAAGGGATGCGGACCGTAAGTAAGCACGCCTCGGTGGCTGGAGTCCCAGCTCCCTTCTGCGCGGTGACAGCCAGGCCGTGCTTAGTAGGAACCTGCTCCTCCAACTCCGCGTTCTCGGAACTTTAAGAGGGCAGCAGCCTCTGCAGTTAGGACAGGGTTAATGGGGTGTCTAATGGACCCCCGGCCTCTGCGGCGGCGGCGGAGCGCGCAGTGCTCAACGGGCTTGAGCAGGAGCTGTGGGGAGGGAGAAGCGGGGGGTCAGGCAAGGCACCCCCGCCTGGACTCCCGAGCGCGCCGCCTGGGCGGGCGGCTGTTCCACTTGGAGCACTACCCTGCTCGCAGGCCTGCTGCACCCTGGCCGGGTGAGCAGAATTTAGCTCTCCCCACTCACCTCTGCCTAGCTCTTTGTGCCCTGCGGGTGAACCGATGTGAGGTCTGCGAAGGGGAGTCAGTGCCGCTACCCTCTTTCATCTTTGTGACTTTTTTTTTTTTAACTGAAAAACTGAGAGGAAAAAAATAAACAAGCAACCTTCCTCTTAGCTTCCCGTTTAGGTAATTTTCCTCTGCCTGTGAGCACGTCTTTCTTCCCAAACTGCTAATATTAATCCCAAAGTTATTTTGATCGCAGTAACTTATGGGGTGGGGGTGGGAATGAGGGTAGGTGTCTTTTTCTTATGCAAAAATACCCCCCTTTCCGGTGAGACCAGATCAACCCTCTTCGTGTTTGTCCTTTTCTACCTCGTTTTTCACCATTCCCGAGCATAGTCTCCCAATCTTTTTTTTCTCTCCCCCTTTAGGTTAGTCCAACAGTCAACTTATCTACTCATTTCTGTAAATTATTGCAAGTCATTGAATATTTTAGGATTAAACTCTTTTTCTTTGTGATTTTTAACTCAAGTGAAGAAGCTTATCGTTTATTTCAAATGAGGCTGTGGCTTAAATGCCAAAAGAGGGAAATAGGAAATAAAATTAAACTTTGTAAAATATATCTGAACCTAATGGTTTGTACAACTGGAAAATCGTTCTAGATTAGTTTTCCTTTAAACATGACTCCGCCGGTGTGAGGTGTGAGGTGTGAGGTACATTGTCCAGGAGACGATTTTGTATAGTATTTTTCTTGTACATTACTTCCGGTAAATATTTGAAAATATATTGAAGTAAACTTGATTTTTTTTCTTTTTGTCAGAAGAAAATATTAAGAGTTATTGCTGAGGTTCTGATGAGCTGCAGGTTTTTTTGAACTCGATTCTGGAGGTGCAGAGCCACACACGCACTTTCCGGGCCTAGTTTTGCTCGAATATGAATTTAGATAGGTATCAAGCTGTAACTAAGACACTATTTGATAAATGTTGGATGACATTTAATTTAATGGCGCATGTACTTATTTGCATTTGCTGGCAGTTCAGGCGTAGTTAAAGTGAGAGTTCTTCTATACTTCATAATAACGGGGTCTGCCAAACCCATGTATTAAATAAATTGTCCAAGTGATACTCGACTAACTTTGGCCTTTGTGTATTTCCTGAAGGTGATATTGTTAACTGTTGACAAACACTCCTGACACTACATTTAAGTGTTGTTTGCAGAGTCTGCAAACTAACTATTCATTGTAATGTTGAAATAATTTGGATATTTCACATTGAAATGAAAAGCCTTTCTCTGGAACATTTTAGACTTGCATTTTAAATGCATGAAATGTAATTGATTTATTTGTAATATTTTAAATGGTATTAATAAACTCAGATAAAAGACTAGGTCAGTTAATTTGTATTTTTTCCCCTTTTAAAACTATGGGCATTTGCATTTTATCTTCAGTTTTAATGTCTAATTTAAACAAAATATGACCCTGTTTTGTGGTAATATTTAAATATTTGCCTTTAAGATATTATGTAGATGGAAGGTCTATTTGGCAAAGCTGTGTTTTCTTTATTTACCAAGATAAAGATTATAGTGTCTAAGATGTAATTAATTATTTACCATTAGATTTAGCTCATAGCATCAGGATTTATTGACCTCTTAGAGCATGCAGTAATTCACCAAACAATTCAAAGTAATTTCATGTTGCTGCTTCCTTCTCAGTCTTGCTGGCCTTTGATTGCATTTAGTATTTAAAAGGCCAAGACTTAACATGAAAGATCAATACATCTGAAATAAAAGCATCGTTTGGGGATAACTTCTGTTGTTTGGAGGCAGAGGAGGTCAACCTAACAAAAGCTTGTTTTTTTTTTTCTTTTTTCTTTTCCTTTTTTTTGGTCATTCTGTGTCTTAGCTAAAGATTCTGCAGAGGTAAATATCAGTAGATTCCTGTTGAAATGAGTTATCTGTTCTTTAAAAGTCTCTAAACAGCCACCAAAGAAAAGGAAGGTTAAACCTTAATCTATCTACGAGGCTATTGTTCAAAGGTGTCAATGATGCCAATAAAAAAACATTGTCTTGTTATGTTTAAGTGCATTTAAGCAATGGGTGTTCCTTGAGCCATACTTTGAAACATAATATACTTTAAATGTTGATTGATGTTATATCAAACTATTTCACTATTAGATTAATATTATTTTGAATCAAACTGAATAAAAAGTTAGTGTGTTCAGATTCTAACAAGTTTAGCTTCTTTCTTTCTGTTTGCATGCTCCTCACGCTCAGTTCAGCCTTGGTATTCATCTTGAATTGAAAAATTTTCATTGAAATTTATGTAAATTCATAATGCATAGTCAAGTAAAAAAAATGCAGGGGATTATAAATCCTGTATAAAGTCTGGGCAAAAGCAATCAGGTTTGTAGTTCAATATGTTGCATAATAATACAGTTGGTGCCCAATCAGCAAACAGCCTTCAATCTAGCTGTCCAGACTCACACTCAAGCCCTTATGGTTGTAGATAAACAAGTTAATTTGATATTTTGGGACACTGTGGCTCTAAGAAGTGGTTACTAAGAAAAATAAAATAGTTTCTGTCACTTTTTTCCTAGGAATAATGCAGAACACAGTTTAAGTGTTTCTTTTTTTGTTGTTGTTGAAAATTGCAGCAGCTGGGGGATGCGGAGAGGCCAGTTCTACAGTTAATGTAGAGGCAGGTAAGCCGACAGCTGCTTGGTACAGTCTTAAGAGTGAATATTTGATTTGAGAGGTGGATTATCTGGAAGATGATTGTTTGGGGTGCAGATAGTAGGGCTTATTTTGGTCTTGTAGTTGCGCAAACTTTCACTTTCTTCGGCTTCCCTCTGTGTAGCTTGGCTTTAGTTGTTTTGTCGTCCCCCCCTCCCCCGGGCATGCAACAGTATTTCTAACTTAGTTTAACCCAGAGTGGGTCGAGTTCCCTTTGGGGGCTGAACATCGCATCTCTTTGGGGAGGAAGGAAGATGAAACACAAAAGGGATTCTTTTCTGTGTAGTCTGATAATGGCTAGAAACTCAGTGCTATGAAGCCAGAGTGGCTGTCACTTTGAACCAAAGGACAAGCTTCCGGGCTTGCAGATCAAGGTAGAGTCAAACTAGCTGTTGACCCAGAGGTCAGGCCTGCGTGTATCAGCCCATCCTCCCGAGACTGGGAAGGCACTGCCCTCCTCCCCAAGGGTTGGTGTTATCCAGCCCTCCTAGTTCCTCCCTCACCCCTTCCCCAAGCTTGAGTCTAAATTTACCCCACCTTGCTCGCTATCCCCCCCCCTTACCCCCGCCGGCTTCTTTATCATCGTTCTTTTTCGATGAGCTTGTTCACTTAGGTATATGGCTGATTTGGTAAAGCTGGACTGTCCGCTGAGATATGTTACGCATCAAACCACTGCACGGTTCCCTTAGCCTTGGCATAACTTCTCAACTGGGTTCCTTAGGTAGGGAACCTACAGCTAAGCCCAGAAGCAGGCAATGAGCTTCTTAAGTAGATCCGGTCTACCATTCACATTTTTGTTTCCCCGGCGAATCTTTTGGTCAGGTTACTAAACGGAGAATTTTTATTGAAAATAAATGTTTTATTTGTTATAGAAGATTACCTCACTGAGGACGAGCGCGGGCTGCTAAATTAAAGCAGAAAACACAGGGAAAGAGTGTATTTTTAAGTATACCCAGACTGCCTAAGATAGTAGAGATAAATTTTACTCATTTTTCATATAAATGAGGTACCGATTTGATCCCAGTATTTTTTGAATAAAGTATGATTCAAATTTTTCCGCCTTAAAAAAAATCCTTGGGTACAAACAGGCATTTCTATTTCATTTCTGCCCCCTCCCATCACTAAAATAACTTCAGGTTCGGATTCTCTAGCCCCTCAACCCCACCCCGCTTGTTTCTCCTCCAAAACAGCCTTTAAATTCTACGACTGAATTTGGAGAAGAGCTGTTGTGTAAGAGGGTGATGCAGTCCTAGTACTCTTCGGATTCACGCCGCAGTTCTCCTCGGCCGTCCTCGGAAGGCTTTGCTCAGCACAATGGTTGCTGTTATTTAAAAACTAAGATGCAGAACTTGCTTGCGCCCTGATTTCCTGCTTCCGGATTAGGGGAAAGCCGGTAATCCCTGGGTGTCCAGGACCTCAGCCCCTGATTCCTGGGGCAGAGCGAGAGGCCACCCCGTAGACTCTCCCTGGCAACTGAACTTTGATTCGCTGCTTCAGGAGGGAGGGAAGGAGTCTATTTAATTTTAGTCCCTGGACGCTCGTTTAATTTAATTTAATTTTCTGTGGGCCCTCTTGGCAGCAGGGAAGCAGCAGCCTTCTACATTGGCTTTGGTTTCTAAGGAGAGTCGAGACTCCAATAACCCTGGGGACAGCGAGGAGAGGCTTGGAGTCACTTAGCCCTAGGCATTATGCGTTCGTTACAAATATGTCCCTTAACGTTAGTTTTAAAGCCATCTTTTAAAGCTAGTACACTTGGGTTCTTGTTTGAAGTCCACTTCTCAATCTGGCTGCTCAGGCTTCCTACATTCTGCTAAAGGCCCACTAGAAGTGAGTGGTCTGTGCTTTGCTGAGGTCCCCTCCGGCCACCAGTTTCTGCGGTTCTCTGACAACAACCTTGGGAGCCGGGGAGGAGTTCCCAGCCCTCTTCTCTGCCACCCAAGGCTCGGCTTGTCCTCTTCCATGTGCAGGCAACTTGTCCGAAGGATCCCCAGCCGCCCTGGGGAGGCTCCCCGACAGCCAAGCTGCACCGGCGCTGGCTGTTCCCGGGTAGCAGTGGAGGCCTAAGGTGTCCGTGGCCGTTCTGCGGGGACTCTCTAGGCTCTTCGCACACACAAAGGCTCCGCGGCGGCCTGCACCTTCTGCGCGGACAGCGAGCGCCACCCTGTGCCCCGAGGCCGCGCTGCAGAGCCCGGGGCCTGCAGCTCTCCAGCCTGACCTTGCTTGGGCTCCAGCAGCCCCCCACTCACCACCCCAAAAATCTCACTGCCACCAAGAGCCTGGCTCAGTGAGAAAATTTTGCTGCGGTTTTTTTGGCTTTAGGAATCAGTTTAAGCCCTCCAGGAGAGAAGAGATTTGGTGGAAAAAGGTAGAGTCATGGTACCTTGAGCAGAACTAAACTTTTCTTGAAGCCTGGTACCTAAAACTCAACCACCTCTTCATTTCTTGCTTTCTTTCTCCTGCTCTCCCCCTTCTATTCCTTGGGCCTCTGGGTGCCATATCTTGGTGATATTTGAAAAGGCTTTGAAAGAGCCCTGTAAAGGTTCTGATTTAGAGCATGTACCTGCGGTGTGCAAGCTGCCTCAGGAAAAAAAAGCTGGCATTTAGCAAAAACTCTTCCCATCTTGGGCTTTCGTGGGCTCCTCTAGGCTCTAGGCCAACGGGCGTTCGTGTTACCTGGAATCCACTTTGTATCCTTGAGATTGGCCAAGGATCAAATTTGGCGCTAATTGACGGCTCACATCTATCATCTGTATTGATGTGGCGCATCCTCAGACCGAGGCCTTGCGGGGAAACTCTTCTGAAATCACTCTCAGGGATGCACACCTGTGCAAAGACCGGGCTCTCGAAATTACTACTGTAGTTAGAAGACTTATTTCCACCGACTCCTCACTTATAGCGGGGGAAGGAAAGGGGTTCATTATTTGGTGTGTAGCGTGTCCAACTCAAGGAAAGCAAAAATCTTGCCCCAGCAGTGCAAGTAATGCGGCCACCAGCAGCTCTAGAACATAATTGACAAGTCCCCCTCCTGAGCACCACCCTCCTCCCTAAAACCAGCTGGCGATGCAGCCCCCACTCCCCCCTTCCATCCTCCCCCCCCATCCTCCTCAGTCCGGAAAGCCAGGAAGCACTGGAATGCCGCGTTCTCTCACCCTATTGTGCCTAGGTGTTGCAAACCACTGGAGGACAGAGTTTCGTTCTTTGATCTCATGGCCCTGCCATTCTGTAGCACAGAGGGGTGAGTTTAAATTAAATTTCTTTCTCTGCTGATAAGTTCTAATGGGCCTCAGAAGGTGAATAATTATGCAGTAACATTTCATGGGTTGTTGGAGTGGGAATTCCCACTGCGCTGTCACCAGGAACAGAATGCTCAATGCTAAATGAAGCTTCGCCAGTAAGCCACAAGTGTCTTTCAAATCCCCCTGCGATAATCCAGGCCATTTCTACTTTTATCTTACTTGCTCGGCTAAGCAGTGTTTTTTTTTTTGTTGTTGTTGTTGTTGTTCTCTCTCTCTCTCTCTCTCTCTCTCTCTCTCTCTCTCTCTCTCTCTCTCTCTCACACACACACACACACATTCAAGTTTTTTTGGTGATTTTAAAAAATATTGGAAACAATACTTACAAGATCGTATTTTTGAGGGTAAAAAAAAACACTGTTTTGATGATTAAACCATGACAAACACATGGCATTGACAAAAGCTGGGTAGTGTTCTGGAAAAAGAAACGTGTATGACCAGGTTGAAGAGCCACCTGAGGTTTGCCCTCACGTCCTAGATTTAGGTCTAGCCCTTTCTTGACTTTAGTGAACTAATGTTTTTTGTTTGTTTTATTTTTTGGTTGCAGAAGGAGTCAAGCCTGGAGCAGCTGGCTTTTTTAAGAGGTGCTCTGATCACTAGTATTGTGAAACCTACCTACCTACATCTGCGCCCACACAGTTTAGAAATGGGCTCTTCACTAGAGGTTGAAAGGAAAAAAGTGCCTCTGCTGCTCTGTGCTAGTTTGTTGAGGAGGACTAAATCTTTGAGATTCTAATTTACATTTAATCTTCTGCCAAGCTTATTAAGAACTGTCAACAGTCTGGACACTGTATATGTAGCATGGCTATTTAATATCAAGAGGAAATCAGCCCCTGAACCTAAAAATAAAGGAACTCTAGATTTGTCATTTAAAGCACGATGAAGTCTTTATTGCTTTTTTATATTATTATTATTATTATGGAAATTCCTTGTTCTTCATTTGCACCAGTGCAGTTTCCCCTCTTTAAGTTTCTTCCCTTAAGTGAATTGAACTCCCACAAGCTTCAAGATTTCTAAATCAACACACAGAAATTGGAGCCTGCTTATCAAGTTTTCGCTCCCCTCTTGGCAACCCATTTGAAAGGGCCCAAAACAATGAGTTGATTTACATTACGTTCACTTCACCCTGAACTCTGTGTGAATGCTAGAAATTTTCATCTAATTCACCTTGGGTTATTTTTATGTCTGTGGGGGGAACCAATC